GGGCGCGCGCGGGCGGCGGGAGCGGGGCCGGCCCACGTGGCGCGGGGGGGGGGCCCCGTGCAAAATGGCTGCCATGGAAACCGGGCGGGAAAAATCCCCGGGAACAACCGGGGGCACGCGGGAGGGGGGCCGGGAACCGTCTACAGGCGGGGAGGGGCACGGCCGAAAACAAAAGGGCGCGATCGGGGGAGAGCCGCGGGACGGGACGGGGGGAAAAGGGGGGGACAAAATAAGGCGGCATGGAGGGGAAGGGGCTGGGGCGGCCGCAGCCCCGCTCACCGCGCACGGCGGCGGCTGCGGAGGCGAGTCAGCAACACAAAGACAAAGCGGGTCCCCTGGGGTCTGTGCTCAGAGCAGTCCGTGCCGCGGGAGGCTCCCTGCGCCTCGCTCTCACGCCTTGCGGCTCTTGAGCGCCTTGGGCTTTGCCGACTTCTTCACCTTCTTGCCCCCGGGGGACGCGGCTCCCTTCTTGGCGGTCTTCTTGGCTTTGCCCTTGTCCTTCTTCGCCGCCGCGCCGCCGGCTCCCTTCTTGTGCGATTTCTTCTCGGGCTTCTTGCTCTTGGCCGCCGGCTTCTCCGCCCGCCGGGTCGAGGACACCGCCGCCTTCTTGAGGGACTTGTGGGCGCTGCTGCCCGCGCCCCCCTCCCCGCCGCCTTCCAGCTTCTTCCTGTTGAGCTTGAAGGAGCCGTTGGCCCCGGTGCCCTTGACCTGCAGCAGCGTGTCGTTCTGTACCAGTGCCTTGATCGAGTACTTCAGGTAAGTCCTGCCGTTCTGCTGGTCGAACCAAGCCACTTTCTTGGCCTCGTTGTAGATCTTGGCCAGCGAGGAGCCGTTGCGCTCGCCCAGCTTGCGGATCGTCTCCACCACCAGCTGGCTGTATTTGCCCGGCTGGTTCTTCTTCTTGTTGTTCTTCCTTTTCTTCGATGGCGACAACGAGGCGCCGCCGCCTCCTTTCACCTTCTTAGCAGCCGCTTTCTTCTCCGGGGAGAGCGGCGCCTCCTCTGCCTCGGCCATGGGCAGATCGGTGTCTTCGAGGTCTACCGACATGGTGTGGGCCGAGCGGGGGCGGGCGGGGGCGCGGCGGGGCCCGGCAGCGCGCTGTGCCGGCTCCGCTCCGTGCGCCTTCTGCCGGGGCGGGCGCCGCCGCCGCCTTTTATATGGGCACGGGGCGGACCGCGTTGAGAACAACAACAGCCTGGTCCGCCGCCAGCCCCGGCTTGTGCTTCTTGGGGCTCCTTCGCGGGGCCCCCGCGCCCGCCCCGCGCGCCGCCCGCGACCCCCGCCCC